ATGAAGGGTGGGATGTAAAGAATAATAAACTGCAAAAAGAGTAATAATTTATCGAACGTCACAGAATACAAACCAAAAGGTTAAAAAGAAATAATAATGTCGAAATGCAAATTGTATTATTCATGAATTAGATGTGTTGTAAATTGCATTAATTATTGCTTTATACGTATTATCGTTATAATTGAAAAATAAAGTCTTAGTAAAAAGAAAAAAATAAAATAAAAATTCGAAGACATTTTCCAGACCTTCATCCGATCCGAACCCAACTTGGTACACATTTTCTGGGTGCAAGGAATTCGAAGAATTTCTGATTGTTTAACAAAATTTTGTTTAAATGTAAAATTATTAACTAGCAATAATGTGTAAAACATAAACTCTAACATTAATAAACAAATTTTGATATTTTGGTACAGTATACCGATACGTATTACATTCTAACATTAATCAATTCGAGTAATATTATTTTGTATACGTATACAGTATTTATTTATATATAAATAGAAAGAACAATTTTAATAGGTTCATACGTATAAATTTATCAGTATACAAAAAAACAAAACTGGAAATTTTATAAATCTTATCTATAAAAATTCCAGTTTTTATACACGTTAACTTTATTTTGATGATAAGCATATTTATTGGTGTTTCAAAAATTCAGAAACCCAAATTATGTTGTAGAAATTGACCACCTTGAACACAAAAAGATTGAGCCTAAAGTGGTCGAAAAAAAGGAGACTTACTAGTGGTGTAAAATCGTTCTTCACAGGAAGGTTTGGAGGATAATAAGTGTACTCGTTAGTATATATCAAAATATCGGTATACAAATGCAAACGCTTTAATTACTCCCGACTATTTATTTTATTTTTATTTTTATTTTATTTCAATAAGGGCATCAATTTGACTTGGTCAAGGTTGATATCATGGTATCACGTTATGGGCTATTTTACAAACCTAAAGTGAAAATTTTATATAAAGGGTATAGTAAAATTAGGTATGATTACAAACTGTACCTGAAGGGACTTACACAATGGTACAGTTGATGTTGTAAAAAAAAACGATCACAAAGGATGGACTACGTGGGTGAGTTACGTTGGCAATCATTTTTTTTCATCGGTTATATCATTATTAATATTTGATGTTGATCCAGTTTATATCGTACCGATTATTATAACCTTAGTAAACAAAATTATGTACGTACGCATTTACACTAAATTTGCAAATCACAAGAGTCTGTACACAGGAATATATGATTGCCGGTGGTTTATCCGCGGGCCCAACCTTAAAGTGTTATTACAAAATTCAAAGCCAAGGTGGTGAAGTTAAATATAAAGGATCACTCGATGTAATACGCCATTTTTATAAGGAAGGTGGTTTAAAGTAGTATTTTTCGCGGAACTGGTGCTGCGTTGCTGCGAGATGATCCAGGATCAGCTGCCTATTTCGGAGCTATGAATTACAAAAAGACTTTTATAACTCAACATTGAATCCCGCTGCGGTCTTATTTGCTGGTGGTAAATTTATTAATATTATTATTTTTAAATTCATTATGATTATTTTTAATTCTTCTTATCTATTACAAATAATGGTTGTTGTTGCAATGTGGACAATTGCTATTCCACCAGATGTTATTTAATCGCGTCTTCAATTTGCTCCTTCTGGTCAATACGTATAAAGTTTTTATGGATGTGTTACGTCACTTGCTTAAGACAGATGGACCATCCGCTTTATTTAAAGATCTTGGTCTTGTGTTATTAAGAGCTTTTCCTGCAAAATGTTGCGGCTTTTCTGAGATACTAAGCTAGTCTAAAAGTGATGAATCCATTATGGTGGAATAAACAAATTCCTACTTCCTTTAATTCTATTTGTGGTTTTAAAAAAAAGTTCAATAAATTCCTACTTCCTTTAATTCTATTTGTGGTTTTAAAAAAAAGTTCAATGTTCACAGTACTGCAGTACAAAATACATTGAATAAACAATATTTAATTTTATGTCCTACCAAACTGATTGTATATTTGTGATTACTGCGACTTTTTATTTATGTTCTGTTTGCTTATTTTGAATTGTAAAAAGGACACGGTGAATGCCGAGTTCTATCACGTGATAACCGTCAAAGGAAATTTCATTTTTCAAGAGAAACGTAATCTACATTAGGAAACATCACACTGTGAATCTGGCGGAACATTCTTTTTTTTTTAACTACGGAAAATCTAATTGTGTCCCCGAATATTTTCATTCACACATATACCTTTTAGGCTATATTCGCAGATATTCGTATGCATCTCCGTAATAACAACAATTGGTTAAATTCGTTGACTGAATTCCTTGATTTTGAAAATTGCACATTTGGAAACGCCATCGCAATAGTCGGTTTCACAATTGTTTCACAAGTATTGGCATATGGTATATCTTGGTGATGGTTCTGTTCTTTGTCTCACTACCCTGTCTTTTCAAGCCATACTTGAAAGCAAAGCGAAGCATCTTATCCGTCGAAGTTAAAACCCGCCTTCCGTCCTAGCCCTTTAGTGGACCTATTGCCTACAGTCCGTCTAGTCCTAACAGGCATTTATATTAGAATTCAGAGTTTGCCCTTCACCGGTGTCCAGCTTGTTGGAGGTGTGAAGTGTCCATTTTTTTCCTTAACGACCTAAACGAACGTTACATCAATCACATCTGACCCCGAACCCTTTCTTAAAAATTAAATTAAAGTTCTCCCAACTATTACTGTCGTGCTAAAGAGTTATTATATATACATAAATACTGTTAAAATTTAAAATTTTTATATATTATATATACATATATATATATATATATAATGGCCGACGAATCCGCTACCCGCGATGAATCTGTGGCTGTAACTGCCTCTGAAACTGTTGAAGATAACTCAGAAGTTGCCGTCACTACTAAGGAGGAAAAAAATCAAGAAGAAGAACCTGGTTATAAAGTTTTTGTTGGAAATTTGGCTTTCCAAACCAGTGAACAACAGTTAGCCGACTTTTTTAATAAAACCGGTAAAGTGTAAGTTGAAATTTTTATAGCATATATATTATTATGTTCATTGTCTGAGTTTCTAATTGATAAAGTTTAAATTAAATTTTGTCGATAAATTCATTGATCATTATTTAATTATTTAATTAATAATTCTCTTTTTTTTTTTTTTTTTATACTTAATCATTATATTATTAATTTATTTATTTAGTATTAAAGCCAATATCATTACTCGCGGTACTCGTTCTCTTGGTTATGGTTTCGTTGCTCTTGAAACCGAGGAAGACGCGAACAAAGTCGTTGAAGAACTCAATAAGAAAGAATTGGATGGCCGTCAAATCAATGTAGAAGTTGCCAAACCTAAAGAAAATACCGCACCTACCTCTAATCCTGGTCAATCCTACCGTGGTGGCCCACGTCGTGGACGCGGGAGATTTATCCGTGGTAGGGGTAGAGGACGTGGTAGGGGTCGTGGTCGGGGCAGAGGTCGCGGTAGCTGGGTATATATTTATTTATTAATTTTTTATTTTATTTTATTTTATTTTAATTCCAATAATTAATATTTTTATAATATTCTATTATATTAGCAAGGTCGTCGTCGATTCAATCGTAGTGGTGATGATGGTCCCAATTCTGATGCCAATGATTCTACTGCAATTGTCCCTTCTGATGGCCCAACTGCAAATGGTGAGCACAAAGGTCGTGGTGGTGGTAAATATTACCGTCGTGGCCGTGGTGGTCGCGGACGTGGTCGTGGTGGTCGTTTTCCATCTCGTCGTCGTTCCGGTAATATTAATTCTAGTCACACAGCTGGAGCTGCTAAAACTGGTGAACCGTCCAAAACAATTATATTTGTTGCCAATCTACCCTTCTCCATTAATGATGAAGGCTTGAAAGAAATTTTTAAAGATTATAACGTTACCAGTGCTCATGTTGTTCGCCGTCGTCATGGGCGTTCAAAGGGCTTTGGATTCGTCACATTTGCTGACGAAGAAGAACAAAAGAAAGCCTTAGAAGGGTTAAAAACCGTCACGTCCGAAGGTAGAGAGTTGGTCATTAAAGTCGCATTGAGTGATCAACATATTCAATCTGGTGATGATGCTGAGAAGACGGAAGCGCCTGCTGCTTCCTCTGATGAGAAGAAAGAAACTGCCGCTTAATTATATATATTAAAAGAAATTACTATATAGTATAGTTATTTAATAGTTGTTTCATATGAGAACAAGAAACATTAATTTCGATAATTTTGTTTATGTAATTTTTTATTCTCTATCATGATCATTAAAATTTAAAATTGGCATCAATTTATTAATGAAATAAAAAAGTACCAATGATACAAACAAAAACATTTTGTGTGTCCGAAGCTAAATAATTAGGGATGTTACGGAACATGGTCCTAAATTGAAGACCGGTCTGGACCAGTTCATAGCCTATAGAATGATCTCATTGACAAAAAAAAATGTCGACGAATTTTGGTGATGTCCCAATGATGTTACGGCTTAAGCCATAACTAACTAAAAACTTATGTCGCAACTAGTTACGACAAATCATTAGGATGATTTTACTGTATCACCAGGTCATTGGCAATTTTTTCAATTGTCCCAGGATTTATGATGATAGCTGTAAGGTCTTTTTTATATGCAGCGATCATCAAAACCACATAGCTTATTTTGAAAACCATCGATTTATGGACCGGTCCTGGACGTAATCCAAATCGACAACTAATTGATCGGCTAAAATAAACCTCGATTGACCAACTAATCGGTAATCGATTAATCAACCAATCAACTAATCTATTAACTAATTAATTCTATATATTAGACTAGTTAACTAATCGATTAGTTAATTTTATAATTAATATAAATTAATTTATTAATCAATTTAAACTGTGTAAATAATTACTCTACGTAGCATCAATATATATATTATAAAAGTTCTATCACAATTTAAAAAAAAACTATCTAATTACTACTAGCACTAAATGTTTTTCTTTAGCATTAATTAATTATTGTATTTGTCAATTTCTTTTTAGTCTTGTATATACAAAATACAAATAAACTCAACCCTTTTTATTGCAATTTCAAATGAAAACCAAATAATAATACCTTGGCGCATAAAATCTTTTAATTGAGCCTATTTTATCTCATAAGCCAAATTTCCAACATAAACGCGGCACTCTTTTTGTGATCATGAAAAGTTTATTGCTTTATAATAATATATAAGATCATACTTTTTCAAGAAATTTTTTTCAGCAGAATATTGTCAATTTATATAATTTAAATAATTACCACCAACATCAAGTTTTCGTATACTGCTCCAAAAAATATAGTGTTAAATTCTCTTTATATGATTTCTAATCGATTAATATTAATCGATTAATCGACTAATCAATTAATCGATTAACTGATTAGCAGCGTTCATTTTTCGTGCGGATCCAATCAAAATTTTAAATAAAGCAATTTGATTGGATCCGCACACGTGCGCACACTTTGCGCACGTGAAAAATGAACACTGCTGATTAGTTAGCTTATCCAAATATTAATCGATTGCATTTTTTGGATCACTACCACGGTCCAGTCCGCGGTCCTCTGGTAGGACCGGTCTTTAGGACCAAGACTGGACCGGGACGGGCCGTAACATCCCTATAAATAATCGATTTTGATTGAATTATCAATATGCTCGTGATTGAAACCAATCAGAGGGGAAAGACTCTAGACACATACCGTCCATCCTACCGATTACCGGTATGACACGGAATAAACAATGATCCTATTAATAAATTCGAAAGTTTTTTTGGGTAGTTTCAAGAAGAGTGAACCCAGTGATATCTTCGTGATCATCACATCACATAATTAACATTCGGCCTAAGTTAGGATTAGTGTTAGGGTTAGGTGATAGTATAGTTTAGGCCAAATCTGCTAGTGCTAGTAAACAAATGACGTCATTCCATTATTTCACGTGATAGTGTCCCGAAATTTTTTTATTTTAATTCTTTGGGTTAATAGAATTAAAATAAAAAAATTTTGATCGAATTCGAATAGCTGGTCGTTGAGAAATATTCATTAAATTAAAGAAAAATTTAGTGCAGCTTTTTTTAAAGACATCAAAACTTTGAGCGAAGATTACTTGGCACTTGCCTGGTCAAATTCGATCAATTTTTTTTTCATTATAATTCTATTCTATGAGTTCATACAATTGAAATTTCATTCAAGTTTAGGTGCCTATAAAAGAAAACTGTGGCCAAATTTTTCTTTAATTTAATGAATATTTCTCAACAACCAGCTATTCGAATTCGATCAAATTTTTTTTATTTTAATTCTATTAACCCAAAGAATTAAAATAAAAAAAATTTCTTCAAATTTGGTAGCTGGTTGTCGAGAAATCGTCATTTAAAGTTCAAAGACAAAAATTTGCCCGATTTTTGGTTTTTTTTTTTTATCTTTCCGCGATGTTTTCTCAACCATTACTGAACCAAATTAAATAGTCTTTTTTTTATTTAACTCTATTATACTATAGAATTATAATAAAAATATTTTTTACCATCGGTATGTTACCGGTAATCGGTAGGTGCAAAATTACATGAACGGAACAGACAGAATGCACGTGACAGTGTAGATCAAATACAAGGGTTAGAACTGCTTCTGGATAAGGGGAAGGGGAAGAGAAGAAAAAAAGGGAATAAAAATAATAGATTTAGTAGAAAAAGCAGGGCATTGGACATGGAAGCATATAATAAAAAATATTAATGATAAGAAATAAAAAATGATATTCGTAAAACATACCATAGATAAATGTTGCACACAAGAAACTTAAAGTACCCATGACATTTGTCACGGGTCATGTGCGATATATAAACAATGATTATCATCGTTGCGCGAGTGTAGCGCGTCATGTTTTACTAACCAGCCCTTTTATTCAGGTAAACAGGTGTCATTACTGGAGCCGTCGTTCTTGGAGTCGTCGTTCTTTTCGTTGATGTGGGCTTCGTGGTGTTTTTGCATTTTTAGCGCGTGTCGTGTTTATATTAGTTCGTCACTTTGGTCGCTTTCTTGAGTTTCCCTTATGTGAGCCTGTCGATTTCGTGGCCTCGATTTCAGTGTCGTTTGAAGTTTCGCTTCTATGATTTCTTTGATAGGTTTCGTGGTGTCGCTTTCAGTATTTTTTGGAGGTTTACTTATGTTAGCTCTTCGATTTCGTGGCGTTGACTTCATCATCGGTTTGAAGTTTCGCTTCTGAGTTCTTTTGGCGAGTTTCTTGGCGTCGCTTTCATCGTTTTTTTTTTGGAGTTAGTCAATAATTGGGTTTAGGTAACATGCGTAATAGAATTAGATAGTCGTTTTTAGGGTTGGGTTAGTTAATGGTTAGGATTAGGGGAGTTAAGGTTGGTAATTAGATAAAGGGTCCTGATTTTTCCACATCCTTTTTTGATATTTCCACACCCATATGTAAATCATGTTTTTTTTTTAACTTTGATCAAAAGTAACTCGACACCCACACGGTGAAATTTATTCTCCGGAACTGTGATTGTGTGGGTGTCGAAATACCTTCGATCAAAGTCAAGAAAATTTTGCCGCAGCTAAGCTTTTGGTAGACGATTAAAAATTTTTCTTAAATTCGGTTGAAGGTATCTCGACACCCACCAAACCAAATATGATGAATTTTTTTATTTTATTTGAATTCTACTGTTCCAGAGAATTCAAGTAAAAAAAATTTCATCAAATTTGGTCGGGTGGTTGTCGAGATATCTTCGATCAATGTTTTAAAAAATTTAGACGTCAATCAAATGTCGAGATTTTTTTGACTTTGATCGAAGATATCTCAACAACCACCCAACCAAATTCGGTTAATATTTTTATTTAAATTCTATGGACAGCGGAATTCAAATAAAAAAAAAAGTCCATCAAATTGGTTTGGTGGTTGTCGAGATACCTTCAATCAAATTCAAGAAAAATTTTTAAAATACTAGCTGCGGCAAAATTTTCTTGACTTTGATCTTAAGTATCTCGACACCCACGTAACCAAATTCGATGAATTTTTTTTATTTAAATTTTACAGTTCCGGAGAATTCAAATAAAAAAAATTCATCAAATTTGGTTATGTGGGTATCGAGTTACTTTCGATCAAAGTATGTGGAAATATCAAAAAGGGTGTGACCCTAGATAAAATATAGTGAATTTTAGAATTGTATAATAAAATTTATATTAATAAAATTTAAGTAACTTACGTTTTTGATTGGCCGATTAAGTATCATGTAATATGTCATGTAACGGGGTGCAACAAATAAATTTCTAAATTTTTTTCAAAAAAAAAATAATAATGAGTTCACAACATTTTATTCCTCCCATGGTAATGTCAAGTATCAAGCGCGTTATGCAAAAAATGACAACTATTTAAGTAAATATTCTTTGCTTGTTGATTCACAGAATTATGGCATGATAGAAGAAGACCTATATAGATCAGGTCAACCGAACGAATTAAATTTTCCATTTTTAGAGAAACTTGGGCTAAAAACAGTGGTATGGCTTGCCTCTGAAGAACCAAATCAAAGATTGTAAGCATTTTTAATTTTAGAAATATAAACTTTTAATCGGTAAATTTTACTTTTGTAATAAAGTTGATAAACTTTACAAAGTTTAGATTTCATCGATGATCAAGAAATTCAATTTCATAATCTTGGTGTAATTTCTTCAGTAAGCACTTGGGATCCTATTACTGAAGAAGTTGTCTTGGAAGCATTAGAACATATTCTGAATCCGCATAATTATCCAATGATCGTGATGTGTAATTTAGGAAGGCATAGAACGGGTACTAACATTATACTATGAAAGTTTTTAACAGATTTAACAGATTAATAAATATAATATTTATATTGTCATTAAAGGTACAATCGTAGGATGTTTACGTAAACTTCAAAAATGGAATTTAACATCAATATTTGAAGAATATCGTCGTTATGCAGGACCAAAAGTTAGAGTTTTAAATGAACAATTTATCGAGCTATTTGACACCGATTTAGTTAGAGTTCCTGTGAACAGACCCAAATGGTTGTGAGAAAAAAAAAACTCGTTTTTTTTTCATATTACTTTTATTATTAAATTATTTCGGACTTTGAAAAAAACGTACGTATAATCAATCGTATTAATCGTATTATATTGATATAGTATGTATATTTAATAAAATTCCATTAATTTTCTTACAGTATATATCAAGAATACAAAAATATTCAAATTAACAATATATTTCTATACCAAAACTAAAAGGCGTTATCCTTTTGATGTTTTATTAATGAAGTTTTAAAAGAATAAAAATAAAAATTACTCAAATACAATCGAAATAAATGCAAGATCGATGAAGAAAAACGACGGTCTATCAAGAAATGAATATCCCAAGCCCGAATAATAATAACTCTTATATATGCGTTTTGTGATTTATCAGCCTTTAGTTTATATGAATATAAATGAAAATAATATTCAAATATCAACCTACCTCAAATACGATTTGAAGAAATTTGATGCGTATTTGATAGTTGAAGTGTACCGTTTGGTGATAACGATTGAAAAGCCTAAAGTTAGATATCTTCGAAAAAGACCTAAATTTATTAACTAAGCTTTGTCCTATCAATTTAAACATTACGTTATTTTATCAAACACTTTTGTGCTAAATATGTGTGTATCATTTTCATTAACAATAGTTCATTGGACAGGAAGCATTATTAGTATCGCAACAAAAAAATGTAAAAATGAAACATCATTGCATCTTGTTAAATAAATAAATAAACTCCGTTTATTATTTTTAAACGGATTACCTTGCAGTTTTACTTCTTACTTCTAGCCCTTCTAGCCAAATGTTTTTCTAAAACTCTCTTTCCTTCACAATTAGGGAAATTTCGAAGGTCATAATAAACTGGTGCAATATCCAAAAGCCTATAATAAAGATAAAATTAATGTCTACGATTTAATAAGGCTCGATTATTGTTAATACTAAAAACAAAAACCTATAAAACATTAATTACCAATCAGCTTTTACTTCTGTTACAGTGCGGATATAATTCTTGGTCGTAAGAACAAATTCATTATACAAGACCCATTCAGGTTGATGTCCGAGTGACGAAGATGGGTGAAGTTGAACAATCTGATGGGTTTATATTATAAATAGTTAAATTACTAATTTATTGATAATTTAAATTTAAATAACTAGAATTTTTAAATTAAGATTTTGACATACCTGATTATCTTTGCATGTAAGATAATGGCCTGATTTTTCCAAATGTGCTACTTGCATGAAAAATCCTGCTGTCAAAGCTTTCCTAATGTTCAAATAGTAATTTCTGTCTTCAAATGATGTGCTGACCAAATCTTGATCGCAACGTTCCATAATACGTTTGAGTTGCTGACGGACATTGTCAGCCGATTTTAAAGACCGAGCACTGAGGTAATTATTATAACACCATTCCGGATCATTTATATCTATTAAAGAAAAAAGAAAAGAGATAATTATGCCTTAATCAATTAAAATAAATTGATCCATAATTTCACATTTTTGGATGACTTACTAGTTTTATAAGCATGATAAACATTCAGCAAAGTTAAGTGATCTCCATCAGTATGAGCAAATTTTCCTTTTGCATCTTCCGCTTGCTTTTTCGATTCATTAGGCCGAACGAAAATATTTGGCACTTTAATATTTTTTTATATGTTAGCAGGTTAAAATATAAATTCTCAAAATAAAAAGATCTATCTGATTATATGAAATATATACCTGATAATAATGCAGCGATTGAAAGGATTTCATTAGAGCATCTATACTTGGGACTCTCTATCAACATTTTTGCCAGTTGAGGATCAAGTGGAAACTCTGCCATTAAAATTCCATCACCAGTAAGATTACCATCATCATCAAGAGCCCCAAGATAATTTAGAAGCTCAAGGGCACGCATCAGTGTTTCAGGAGCTAAATTATTTTTTCATAAGATAAGCAAAATTTGGATAAGAATTTGTTTTAAAAAGACAAAATAATATGACATGATATTAATATCAAATTATTTATTTACCTGGAGGATCCATAAAATCAAAATGCACAAGATCATCTATGCCTAATTTCTTTAATTGAAGAACAACACTACCCAAGTTACTCCTTAAAATCTCAGGATATGTTTGTTCTTGTAATTCTTTAAGAAATGCTTTTTCAGTATAAAGACGGAAACATTTTCCTGCACGCGTACGACCAGCACGACCAGCCCTTTGTTGAGCGGATGCTTTACTAATAGGGCTTACAAGCAACGATTCGACACGGATTCGAGGGTTATAAACTTTCTGTTTGCTGAAACCAGGATCAACAACATAGACAATACCATCAATAGTCAAGGATGTCTCAGCAATATTGGTTGATACAATAACCTTACGACCGGGTTTTCCGTCTTTAACGCGAGGAGGCGGTGCATCTTCGAAAATACGTTGTTGTTGTTGAGGTGGCAATGAAGAATATAATGGAAGAACTTTTAGTGTTCCTATATCAGATCGTTTCATCAAATCTTCATTCTCTGTGCGAATCTTTATGCATGCATTTTCAATTTCTTC